ATATTCGCCCGTTACGCTGATGAGACTACGATGATTTCTCTAAATCCCGGCCCGATTCATTGTAATCTTTTAGTAAAATATTGACTTGATACGAAGACAATAATACAAAGATCCTGTTACTAACATGAAATTTTCTGTCCTGGTATATTCATTTCTATATAAAACACTTTGTACACACCTTCTAATCCATTGTTTTTCTCTTTAAATTAAGGCTAATATAATATACGGAACCCGCTTAAAATACGATTATTTTTCTTTGGCCCGTCAGTTTCGTACTAACGGGATGCGACTGTAGTAATGATTCTTGGAAAAATGTAGGCAAACGCTTCGCAGTAATGGTTTATATCCTCCGCACGAATCGTGCATGTTTTCCAGGAAGATTTTCCATTAGATTTTCTAAATATGGTTTTGTTAAACATTTAACCCAATAAATAACAAAACGCAAAGTGTTAGAATCGAACCTGATGTGTAGGAATGAAGCACGAAAAATTTCAGCCGGATTCGTGCACGCGACTAGAAGTTATGCAGGAACAAACAGAACGACACTACTCAAATTATTATATCTATATATAAAGCTAGAAAATGCATCTGTCTACACATATACACTAGTTACGTTACGTTAGTTACACTCGGCCACTTCGCTGTTCCTTATCAAAAAACAGCGGCCATCGTTTGAAACCCTATGCGAGTATAGTCTCTAGTATTGTAAATTACTCAACCAGCATGTAAATTATCATGTTACGTTCTTTGTTGAGCTATCGCGATTGGCGACTTTTTTACGCGCACACACTTACTCTACCCTACACTACACCCGCATCATTTAATCATCAAACGAAAATGAATTCCGGCAAATGTACATGAAAATGTGCCCACATTCGGGCCTTGGACGAACCCCTACATATTATCAGGAGTGAATAATAATAGATTATCTAAGATAATCTATAATCTATAATTGATAATCTATTATTATTCACTCCTGATATTATATGATGTGCCAAATATGACAACGCTTTGAATTCGTGGCGGAACGTCCGTCAGTCGGACGCCATTTCCATATCTTTGCTCGTCTATGTTATTCGCCTATTACAATCTAAAATCCCCGACAATTTGTATGATTATAATCATGGTTACAGAGAGGTAACTGGAGGGGGAAATGGACGCAGCAATCCTAGTTAACTCGTATTGAAATGAACAAGCTACAGCGCTATCCCATGAGGTCACGCAAATAAAATTGCAAGTGATGCCTGTCACTGTAACACGCATGTGAGAGCATTGATAATATAATATGTATACTACATCGCAAACCGTAGCAAAACCCATTTTCAAAGCATATATCAGACTACTTCTTGCCTTTATCATATCCAATGGCAAATGGAAGGGGTAATATCTCTAGAGAAGCAAGCAGAATTAATGTCCACATTAGATTTCCTGCACACGCTACATTTGGATCGCCGGGGGTCATTTTTCTCAATAATAGTTGTGAGATTACATAATAGCAGGATAATAGTGCCGCACACACACAGCACACGCGCACATATGCAATCCCCGCGCGCACATATGCAATCCCCCGCGCGCACACACTCGCGTGCAAACATGCGCTCACGGGTGCACGAGCAAAAAAATACGGACACAAGCACATAACAGTGTTCTTTCTGTTAGCTGAATAATCATGCTTCCATGGCATGTTGTACAATCAATTTCGCTTGTAGGTCTTATAAATGTTATCCGCCTATTCATTGTTGTCCTACACATATATCATTACAATACACCTACACGAAATACGAGAATTCATTTCATAACAAGTTCCTGTGGGTGTGTGAGTAATTCTGCGCACACAATGTCAGCTTCAGGCAGCAAAGTAATTGACAATAATACCGAATCACGTGTACGTAGCAGGGGCAAAAATTCATGCTATAATAAATCTTGTGCCTGTCATCGCCAAAAGTAATTTATCAAAAGTACACTCTCCACAAAATAAAATCTGCACACGACTAATCATAATACATATATCATTACATCTGAGCAGGCACCATTATACACGGTACATTAAAAAAATACATTTTGCTTGTTAATTGCTTATAAGTGTATGCATTTTTTACAATAACTAGCATTCCATAGGGGTTTGGTACACACAATTTTTGACAATGAAAAGTGCTAAGTTATGCCATTTAATCATCGATACAGGTTGATGAGACAAAGGGGAAGTAGGAAATGTATATCTTAAACGAGAGATAAAGTATGTACAACTGCATGGCCACTTAATATCAAAGGTGACCTTGGGATGAAATCGATTCAGTATTAGATGATCATCATTCATGTATAGGTCCCAACACCAGATACACCTCAAAAAAGAGAGCTGAGGAAAATTGTAGCACACTAACATATCATAATGTTGGTAAATAAGTAAGAAACGTCAGCAGGTAACGAATCATGTCACCTAAACAAGGTGTATGTATATTAGTTCAACCAGCAGTGTGCATGAGTGATGTTAGACAGAGAGAATGTACAGCCATAGAAGCTAAGTGTAAAAAAATCAACCACCGCTAATTAGAAGGAAATGCAAATATTAATACTAGAGCTAAATGACACGATGTAGAATCACTAATACAAACAGTCCTCGGCAGCACCAAAGTTTGCCTGTATAAAACACCGGGGTGAGCTAAGGTCTAACACCTATAGAAGTAATGAAATGCTGACAAGAACTTACTCAACGTGGTACATTAAAAAACGTTTTCTGGGCAAGATGAGAACCATGCCTTTGTCCTTGAGTATAAATACCGCTTAGGCGTGTGTACAAAGCATCATATTTATTAATTACTAGATGTGTGTTCTTGCAGTACACTAATGAACGTCACTAATAATTTCCATCTTAGAATGTTCCATAACAAGACGCATAATACCTGTATGAAGTTCCACAGAACGGTGACATATAACAAGACCAGACGATAAGGTCGCCACACCCGAGTGATAATGTTAATTAAATTTTATTCGGCTTATATGATCGACTGAGTCTGATTGTTCGTTTACTGCATGGGAGCCAGGGCTGAGTGCTAGTTAAGTGGCTTACTGCTGCACACAGAAGACGCTATCATCAATATCGCCTAACCTGGAGAAAGATTCCGGTTCTCTGATGTCATCAAACAAGGCAGGCAATTGGCTGAGCCATCCTGCTGATCGGATTCACCGTGCGCTGTTCGCCTGCGGCTTTAATCGTGTCGCGGCACTAATTTCATACTTATTTTCATTTCGGACTTGAGACGGTCTATTGTGATGTCACTCGGGGTTATTCGAGGCAGCATGGGATTACATGGCGGAGCCATCATCCAATCACATCTAGCCTCACAGCTTACATTAACTATGAGGGCTTTAGCATAACCAGCTGATCGTCACTGGAGAGAAAAACGCTACCTAACTGCGCTCTGCATTGTATGATGGACATTTTCACACCATAACATGCTGTATTTCCTCTTCTCACACAAAGGGGGAAATTTATACGACTTTGTGTAAAAGGACTCGAGTGTGCCTGCAGAGTATCATCATACACTGGTAGTTATGCCAAACATCTAATTCCTTGTGTTCAACTATCTAGAGAGGGGGTCAGTAAAAATCAGCAGTTATTTAATCAGAATGTCTGTCTGGAGTCTAGAATAAATTCAGAGGCAACCAGTATTCTAGTTTGTACAGGTCGAGTTTTTGTTAACTTAACCACCTAACCAGTGTCCGATTTTTTATGATATGAGGCTTTGATGTCTAACCATGCTGCCGGTTAAACAGGTATACAGTAGTATACGGAGTAATGCACACTTAACAAAGGCCAATGCTCATTGGTTGATTTTAGAGTTTAAAATACGTAATTAACCTGAGTTGATCTAGGTGACTAGCAGATATTCATACCAATTGCGTTGGCACTGGGAAACGTCATTATATTGATTGGTCTGTTATACATCGCAAACACATCAAACTATATATACAAATTTGTGAATCCTAAATCAGAATTTGTGTATTGATTATATGTGTATATTATACATTCTTGATTGTACTGTTGCTGCTTGCAGATTCCTAGTCACTGTGTAGAGATGTCAAGGGTCGGGGTTATTCCACTACTGCTCAACATATACCAAGAACGAGAACACAACTATGGCATTCTCATCGTCATAGCGAGGATCATTGGCAACTTTGCTCTCAATGAAGAACTACATATACCTTTGTACCAAGCAGGTACATGAGCGCGGAGAATTCTAGTAACGGTGGCCCTCGCATCCTGAATGTTGCGCGCGACGTCAGACCGTGAAGCATGCATTTCTCGCTGGCGTATTGCCAACGTTGCAGCTCGTGCTTCTATTTTCATGTTATTTCTAGAAGGAAGTGAAGTGGGTTTGTTAAGTAACGTATAAAAGTAATACTTATGTTACACCATGTGCGATTGATGGTGGGGTGATGAGGATTTGATCACATTTTTCATATCAACGTACTACTATAGAATTATATGATTAATTTTTGAATTATGAATTTATGATTAATTGAAACACGGGTTTTTAAAACCTTAATTTATGAGTTTTGATTTTCTCCCAGTATAATTGAATAAATAACCAAATGCATTAGTATTAGAAAACGAGAGTGCATTAGGTGGCATAAGTGCTCACCTGCTTTCACTGTATGACGTCAGCACACAGTAATTCCACAACTTGCCGCTCACACATTTGTAGAATTGTATATATGCACGTATTCAACTAGTCATGTAATCAGGTTTGTCATTATTAACTCCTGATGTAATCTAGATTTCAGTAGTTCCATTTATCATAAAAATGCTCATCGTGTATATAATGGTCACACAAATCTTGGTAATGATTAAATATTTTTTATTTGTGTAGGTTGGGTGACCATTTTAGCTCACTGGATACGCTCACCAAACCTGAAGTTATCCATACAAGCCAGTAGAGCACTGGCCAACATTGACAGAGATTTTGGTGGGAAAAAATACGAGAAGGGTATCTACCTTGTGTACCCGGAATATAGAACAGAGTAAGCACTGCCATCTGGTGACGCTTTTCATTATAAATGTTTATTATATTTTATTAGGCTTTGAGCTGTACTCATTTCTTGAATCCATCCAAGTATACCACGATAGCCAGTCAAACGAAGTAACATGAGTGTTTCGCTGAGTATTTGAGTTTGTTACGTTGGAGCCACCGTAGTGTTAATCACGTGAGTTTCCCACAAGCACTTTCTTTCTCCCTCGTGGCTTTGCGGCATTTGTCGTCTTAAGTGCATGCGGTATTAGGGTGAACATGGCGAACAAAGATAATGCCGTGGGTTTTTCGCTCTCGTCTTGCTCCCGCGTAGCTATTGCATCTATAGTCTCACACCGACCTATTATGTTGATCTATGTGCGCAGTCACATGCTGTGTGCGGACGTCGTCTTCGTCCACGGCCTGCTCGGCGGTCCGTTCAAGACGTGGCGGCAGGGTAAGCGGGAGCCGGTGGCTGCGAGTGGACCCGTCTCCGCCGAACCCCTCGTTGCCGACGACGACGGTGCCGAGGACATGAAGAACGACGCCGGATACACGGAGTGCTGGCCAAAGGTTCGTCGTCCCGTTACACGCCGTCCCACCCCACGCCATCCCGTCACGCCGTCCCACCCCGCGCCATCCCGTCACGCCGTCCCACGCTGCTCCGTCCCACCCCACGCCATCCCGTCACTAGGGCTATGACTTCATAAGAGAAATGGTCAATCTAAAGCCGTTAGTAAGTCAGGGAGCTCGCCAACTCTCATCCAAAGCTACGGTGCAAAATTCCAAACATACAAAGGCGATAGGTAAATAAATCTAGTTTGCTTGATGCTAAGGACTGCATTATAGTAAGTATCATTATAATAAGGTTATACTGTGGAACAGTCTTGTGAATTTTTGGTTGGATGTAGATATATTTAAAAACTATAGTGAGAGGTGATTATTTATATTATTGTCCATGAGAATATTACAAAAATGTGATTGTGATTATTACGAACATTTTAAAATATCTTGCCTTTTTGTATTGCAGCTATCCTAGTTGGCGCAACGTCAGTCGCAACATGGTAAGACAAGAGATTGTTTAATTATAAGTTATTGTTCAGTTACTGTGGTGTCTCGTAGAAATGAATAACCCTGCTTTGGTTATTTTAATTTTTTTTTTTAAATGATATTTTTAAAATGGTATTTGTCTTTCGCCTTATAGGTTGTACTGTTGTTCTCTACATGACATATTAGTCCGAGTGGCTAGGAATTAAAAATATTAACCCTGCCAACAAGTTTTCTGCATGGCTTCACATGCTGAGATTTGCATACTGAATATTAATGGCTTCTTGATAGTGTATCTGCATCAAGGTTGAGTTATATTCTATACAGTTTTTGCCCGTATGCCAAGGTATATATATTTTGTTTTTGCACTCTAGTGGTGTTTTAGTAGCAAGAGAAGTCTTGTCGATAAAGGAGAAAATCAACTTAACAGACCATCTGATGAACACCATTGATCATATTGAACATAATGCACGTTCATACATCTACCTCGAAAAACCTGACACGAAAAACCTGAGAGATGAGGGTGAGTAGATGAGAGATGAGGGTGAGTAGATGAGAGATGAGGGTGAGTAGATGAGAGATGAGGGTGAGTAGATGAGAGATGAGGGTGAGTAGATGAGAGATGAGGGT